TGCCTTACCAGTGCTGCATGGAGAAGTATCACCTTGTTAGACCTGTCTGTGATGCACCTGCATGACAGAGTGCAGTTAGCTTTACATATTCATTTTAGAGTCCACTATGACTCCAAGATCCCTTTCTGCTGCTGTGCTACTGAGAGGGTCATCTCCCAATCTGTACATGTTGGCGATTCTTTCTCCCTAGGTGCAGCACTTTGCACTTACCTTTGTTAAACTGCATCCTGTTCTGTTCTGCCATTACCCCTACTGCTCACAAGTTAACCACACTTACCCAGTCTCTATACTAACTGCCAGAAGCCACTATAATGAATGACTTGGGAACTCGAAGTCAGAAAACTGTTCTTGCTGAGGACTGGGAAGATTTCTGGCAACTAAAGAGTGCAGCAGGATAGGTACGCCAAGAGATGAAGATTTTTAACAGCTGGCAGTTAGATTCTCTAATGCACACTATACTATAAATTGGGATGAAAACAGGACATACATCTGACAAGGGACCTCTCCTGCCTTTCCACTTCTATCTGGCTGTCCAAATATTTTCACACAAGCTATTACCAGGAATCATCCACCTTGCCAAATGTTGCAGTTATCACGAACACATAACAATATGGTTCCACTGCATCATTTTGTGGGCTTGTGATAAGCTGTGCTCCAAAGTCTGCGATGGCTTCCAATAATCTTCTGGACACAATTCAAGGTGCTAGTTTTGAACCATAAAACCTTAAATAGCCTGGGTGCTATGGCCTTTTGTACATATGCTTGCGCTGCAGCACCAGGTGCTTTTAAAAGCACCTGGCATTGTGGTACATACATTTGTATAAACGGTGAAATGCATGTCAGTGCTGAGAAAATGGCGATGGCGCACTTTTGAACTAAAACAAAGGTACTTTAGTTCAAAAAGCGCATCACTGCCATTTTCTCAGCACTAACGTGCATTTTGCCATTTATGCAAATGGATGCAATGCAGCACTGGGCACGTCAGTTCGTGTGCAGAACAAACTCAATTAATTGATTCTGCTTTGACGTGCCAAATCTCCGGCACGTTGGAGCAAACAGTTGTATATGCCCTACATGCCTAAGGGACCACCATGTCCCCTATGTTACATCACAATACCCATGGTAGTGAGAGCAACCTCCTGCAAAGTACTAACATGCGGAAGGCCATTCGCAATAGTTGCCTCTTAGCACTGGAACTCCCTCCCCTTGCAGCCCACTGAAAGCCCAAGCCTGGACATCTGGAAGTGAAGCAAGACCTTTTTATTTCAGCAGACTTTTAAGCAGGATGGATACATTTTTGGGATGCTATTTGATGAGTCTTTTGACAGCGGAGGCTGATCTTTTCAGCAGACATTCCACAAATTAGCCCCACACTATCCTAGTGTGCCAGTCTGATTCCCATGCCAGACCTGCTGGTTTGCTTTCTGCTCCCTGCCCTATCTGCCAGTACTGCCTGTCCCCTCTCTAATCTCCTACGTACCACAGGGACAGCCCACGTCACTTGTGGCAGCCATGCTGCAGGTTGGCTACTCTTGATTTATTACATGCTATTCCATTTTAATACCTTATTTGTTTATAATTTTTCCCCTACTGTAAGCCACCATGACCCTTTTCTGGGGAGACTGCATTATAAATCTAATAAATAAAAGAACTGGCACTTTAAAGAACATAGAAATATGTAAGAAACTTCAGGCCCACAAAACAAAATTTAGTTGGCTCCAAAACCCTTATATTAAAGCACCAATTCCACCAGTCTTGCACGGTTTTGTTTTGTTTGTTTTTTTTAAATGAATATGCCTAATGGGACACTATCACCTCAAGGCCTTGCTGTGTGATAAATTACACATTTAAAACAGAAAAGGAGATAATAAGGAAGCAAAGGGACCAGATAACAACAGGGCAGGGGGACACCTGGGTAGTAGACACTTCCTAGTGGCAGCACTGCTGTCAGCACAACTATACAGCTGTGGAGACAGCTGTTCTTTTTCCACCACCTCCCCCATTCACCCATCTCTAGTTATGCTCCTAGATAGATTATGATTTCATTGTAATTTTTTTTATTAATAAAAATTGTTATTTTATAGAATCATAGAAAATCATAAATAAGGCAACAATTTGTGTTTCTGTGACTTTACATTGTAAGGGTCTTAATTTAGTAACAACAAATCATGTAGTCAGAATAGCACATGCATGTCCTGCAATACACAGTTTATTTTACCAACTTTAATCCTTTTCCTCCTTCACTCTTAAGCCCTCCCCCCTTATAGTTTGCAAACACCTAACTGTCAAATCACTTCTAAAGTTAGGCCATGTGGCATAATGACAAATGCTTAGGTCAACTGTCAGCCTCCTCATTTTCAACATATCTTAAAGGGAAAAAATACCTTTTAAATTCTAAATTCTTCTGTTAACATTTTATTCAAATGGTATTCTTGCTATAGTTGTTGAACCCCGATTAGAACCAACTAGAAGCCAGTTTGCTTTCCTCTTCCACTAGTTTTCCTGTCACTTTTCATCCTAATTCTGCCTCCAGTTTCTAGACTCAATGAACTGACCACATTCCATCCCTTAAGGCACTGACAGATGTGCAGCTCCCCAGTGTAGCTGATGTTGCTTCACAGGAAACACCATGAGTTACAACAATCCCCCAGTCCACCCCCCACAACCCAATAGACACTTGGCTTTTGGGTCTAGGGGCTTGAGCAACTGCATCTCTGCAGCCCTGCCCCCACCTCCCTCCAGTGCAGTCTTCAAGATGGGAGTGGGGAGAAAGCTCAGTCTGTGGTTGCCCAGCCTACACTGGAGGGTGGGGTGGGTGAAAGCTAGACAGGCAATGGTGGGTGGAAGAACTGCTTTCTAGAACAAAAAAAGGAGCGACTATTCAAGAAAATGAGAACCAAGGATTTTTGTGGCTGATAATTTTTCTTGGATCAGCTGCATGATTGGAACAGACAAACAAGCTTTTCAAGAGAATAAAAGATAGAGATGGGCAGGTTGCCTTGATCCTTGAAGAAAGGACCTAGACTCACCAATAGAGCGTGGTCTCTTTGATGAGCGGTAGGATTCACAGACCGGGAATGGGAGACTTGAGTCATAATCATAGCCCCGCTGCAAAGAAACAAGAAAAACCCATGCAGTCTTCAGCAAATGACACTTGCTAATTTATGTTGTAGATATTTTGAAATCATACATAAAGCAACTTAGATCCCAACTTAAATCAGGAAGAGTTATATAATATAAAGAATATATTTTCTTTATATTCAAGATCTCTTCCTTTCCACATGCATCTCTGATCCCACCTTATTCCACTTCACAAAGTTCCACTTTCCTTAGACAGAAGATTCCCCGCCCCATCTTTAAATCTCAGCTGTATGCCTTCCCAATCGGACCTCCTAAAAGTCACCTTTCTTTTAAGACTGCTTAGTTTTTAAAGCAGAGAGAGAAAACTTGGGGTACCATTTCCTTTAACTATCACAATATATAAGTTGCTTGAGGGGAGAGAGGGAAGAGAGGTGGGGGAGGTAACAGGTGAAAGACTTTTTGATGGGAGAACATTTTGTTCCTTTTTAAGTGTCAGAAACCTAGAAATTTAGTTTTCCTTGGAAAGGGAGGGGAGAGTGGGGGGAAGCGAGGAAAATCTGCAACATAGTAAAAAAGATACAATTAAATTTTGACAAAAAAGATTTGACACTTTATGCTTCATCATGGAGTAGCAAGAAGGGAATAAGCCCAATTTTCATCTCCTCTACTCTGTCTCCTTTATCCTTAGATCACCACCAGATTTCTACTAAAACCTACGAAGAAATTTATTTTCCTTATGTTGAAGATTCATTCCTTTGTGCCCATACCCAATTCTAAACATGTGTCAGTCAGAATTGTCATTCCTTACCTTTACATACCCGCTGCTTGAGTGTTGTATGGCATTTAAGAGCATCTCCTCCAGATGCTCCTGTCTGGTTTCTCTCAGAGCTTCACAGAAGGCTGAGAAGGCTTGAGGGCCCCTCTTGGGCAGAAGGCTGAGGAACTCAACATTTTGGCTGAAGCTCCCAGCTTTGGTCTAGATGCAAAGAACCAACAAGCAAACTTATAATAGATATGCCAACCAAAATCTCTCTTGATTCATTCTAGGAGTCGCAAAATGAAATAAGAAGGTAGTAAGTTTAAAACTAACACAAGAAAGTTCTCTCTCACACAGCATGTACTTAAAAGCGTGGAACTCTGCCATCAGATGTTGAGAGAGCTGATAGTTTAACCACATTCAAAAAAAGTTGAACAGATTCTTGGAGGGAAGGGGTATCAGTAGCTATTGAGCATGGGAGTGAGGGGCACAGCCTCTGAATCAAAACGTCCTAGATCTTAAATACTAGAGGCTACAAGTGAGAGAAGAGCAATGGAAAAAGTCCTGGTCCTACCCAGTTCACTCTGTTTCAGCATCCACTTTCTGCCACCATGTGACACGAGCCTATCCAATATGCCAAGGGTCACGGGCTTTGGCCCATTGTGAAAAAAACTACAAGTCTCCCTTGAGAAGAGAAGGCCACTGGGGACATATCAACTGAGTGTTTGGGACAACAACAAAAAAACAGGAATAGGAGTGAGTTCATAAGTTAACAACAAGGGATTTGAAGAGAGACACTGAGCAGAACACACCAGTCAGTGCCCAATGCCCCCCAAACAAGTCAGGGGAGCCTGTGGATGCTGACCAGTGAAACTCTGCTCGGAGATGTGAGCAGAGGAGTGCCAGGAAGACAGCCCCGCACTTGCCCAGGGTGGCACCCTGGCCAAAGCCGTGAGGAGGTTGACTAGGAAATCCCAGGACTTGCTGGGGCTGCAGACGGGAAGTATGTAACAAAGGTGTGGGAAGAATTGCAGCTACAACCTCAGCAGGAGGTTCTGGAGGAGGCAGAAGAGGGGCTGCAACTTGGCACTCAAAGTAGGCGTGTGCCAGAGTCTCCCTCTGCTGGGAAAAGGGGCAGGTGTCAGGTGTTCATAAAGTGTGCCAGATACACGCCCATGGCAACAGCTCTATTCAGGAAGTGCCAGCTGAGGTCCTCAGTGGCTCATGAGATCAAGATGGAATACAGACTTGCCCACCAGGGACCCTTACCCCCGCCTTCACCTAGGTTGTCTCACTTGTTGTTGGGGCAGGACACGAGGACAGGATGATGGACAGTGCAGAGTACAGGCATGTAGAGCTGGTGGCAGTAGGCTGTTCACAGGCAGACCAGCTTGGTACCTCTCAGCATGCTAAGATGGTGGGGCAGGGAGTGTTGTGGGGCCTGCCAAGGCAGCAGCCTCACAACCATCTCCAGAGGGCTGGTGGGGAGGAACTGCCCTTACACAGGACCTGGTCAATGTAGGCAAGGGCAATGGGCAGCAGGGTTTACCTCCCAGAGCGTGTGGTATGGAACATGCAGCATGGGCAGCTCCACAAGCCAGGCCAGCACAGAAGGATGCACCCACCCCTGCCTAGCATAGTCTAGGACACGGGTAGGCAACATTTTTTAGCTGGAGTCCCAAAAAACCCACAATGGCTACCATGCAAGGTGCCAGTGCCAGCATACCAGAAAAACAAAATGGGGGGGGGCGGGGAGGTGGTACATAGCAGGACACACTGCATATGAGTATACTTAATAATCATAAATGTTGCCTCTGTTATTGTGTACCTTTTTTTTTGTTAAGCATGTTGCAGAGAGGGGAAAAAAAGAGAAATAAGAGAAAGAGGAGAGGAGAGGAGAGAAAGAAAGAAAGAAAGAAAAGGAAAAAAAGGAGAAAGAAGAACAGAGAGAGAACCAGGCACACACACAGAACCACACGTGCACAAATACAGAGAACCAGGACAGACATGTGCACACACATCCAGAACCAGACACATACGTGCACACACAGAACCAGAGGCAGACAAACATACAGAATCAGATGCATGGATGCACAGAGCCGGACTGCTGGGCCACCAGACAAAAGTCCAACCCAACAATGCTCTGGGCCTGCCAGAGCCCGTGCTTCCCTGGGAAGCCAGCCCCCAGGCTACAACACGGCGAGCCGAGGCCCCGACCCAGAGCCTACCCATCAACCCAACCACCTACCCACTCCACGCAGGTAAGCCCACAAAGGTGCGACGCTCCTGGCAAGGGGCAGTGCCAGCCTCATCCCAGTAGGGAATCCCAGTGCTGGGCTTGGAGTAGGTAGGAATCAGGCCAGCTCAGCTGCAAGCCCTGCTGCAAGGAACCCGGCTCCATAGTTGGTAGCAGTCACCCAGAGCTGGCTGCAGCCAGAAGTCTGCAAACAGCTGCACGAGTGCCTCGGAGCAGGGGGGAAGCACCCTGAGGCAGCACAACCCCGACCTCTCCCCTGCTGCTGGCACAAAGCTGATGGAGCCTGCAGCAGCTGCTTGTAGCCAGCCTGGGCTCTGAGCCACTGAAGCAGGCAGGCTGCGAACAGCTGGGCCAGGATCTGGCACCAGCTCTGTACCAGCATATGCACATGCGCCTTGGAGCAGGCAGTGGGAAGGGCCCAAGGCAGCACAACCCCAGTCTCTCCCCTGCTGCCAACAGGCTCCAGAGCCCAGTGCAGCTGTCTGTAGCCAGCCTGGGCTCTGGGCAGCTGCATCTGTCCTTGACTTCATGAAAGCCACTTTGACAAGCTCAGGAGGCTTGTCAGTGAGGCCCTAA